ACCTTTCACAGTTCTGAGTTGTTTGACAATGGTTCTTTGTTCTAGTCTGAAGAAGATTTCCTTGAAAGGAGAAGGGAAGTAGAAAGGCTCCTGAAGAAGAATGCGGACTGGATTTGGGATTGGTCCAGCAGGCCAGAGAACATCCCCCCAAAGTGAGTGCTCTGTGCCTCTGGGTCAGCTTAGATGCAGCTTTTCCTTCCACTGGTCTAGACACACATCCCTTAATGCTGTCACTGTTTCCTTCCTCTAACCAGGGAGTTCCTTTTCAAGCACCCCAGGCGCACGGCCACCCTGAGCATGAGGAACACCAGTGTGATGAAGAAAGGGGGGATATTCTCAGCAGAATTCCTGAAGGTTTTCCTCCCATCTCTGCTGCTTTCCCACTTGCTCGCCATTGGCCTGGGGTCAGTGCTACATTATATTTTGACCTGTTTTTTCCCAAGGCCCAGTTCTGACCCCTGATTCCCTCTGCCTAAAGATGAGGAATAAACACTTTTCCATAGAATAAGCCAGGGGTGGGCACAGAGTCACCGGTGACTGGAAACAGAGTCCTGGAGCAGTTGCTTGATTTGCCCACTTGATTATGGCTGCTGCTCCTGCTGGGAATGGCAGGACTCCTATCCTGATGGAAGAAGAGTGCTCCTCACGTGCTGCATGTGCCGCTTGCAGCACAGCACTCACTGACCATGTGCTCTCCCTCCTCAGGGTGTACATCGGGCGGCGCCTGACGACCACAGCTTCCAGCAGCGCGTTTTAGAGGCACCTCAGGCCTGGTTTCGGAGCAGAGCCTGGGAATACAGGAGGGAAAGGCAGGAATGTGGAGCGAGCCGTGACTCCATGACCCACGTACACCCATCCTGCTGTGCTCCCAGTTTAGTAAGGGGAACAGGGACATCGGCGCCGACCTCTCCTGCAGCTATTCCCAGAGCATGTTCCGATGCGTTCACATCCGTTGTATTGCTTTGTAGTGAAGTATCTTTGCAAATCAGAACAACTCCATGTTTAAAGCCAGCCCTGCTCCAGTGTAGCCGTAGTGATTGAGTGTTCATCCCGTGGCTGCTTTTGTGCTTTGTAGAGGTGAGTATTGGTCACTGCTGCTGCCATCACGACGCTAAGGGATGAGCCCCGCATGGTGCGTGGCCTCGTGCCACAGGGGTGTGGGGAAGCTTGAGCCTCACTCAAGGCAGATTGCGGTGGGCTCTTTCACTCTGGGGTATGAGCAGCGGGGGGACACTGTCAGCTGGGAGCACTGCACCTCAGAGTAAAGCTCCACCGGTTTTTACTGTTGAGCGGGGTGCACAACAGCCCGAGTTACAATGTGGACCCCGGTGCCTATAATAAGTAGCTGCTTTGCAAAGGCACTGATCTAACTCGCCAACTGCTTGAAGTTCTTCTGTTGTATCTGCTCACAGGCCATCGCTTTGCAGCCTTTTTATCTGTAAAATACTGAATTAGCAGCTGATACTGCCCCAGCCTTGTATAGATTTCCAAGGGTTGCTTGCTCATTGTTTTTACTGATGGAATGCCTCCCAGTGATTTTACCTTATTTAATGAGAAGATGAATGTTTGCCAAATACCATGTTTTATATATTTAAATAAAAAGGTTCCTTGTGGACTCGGGTCTGGCATTCCTTTTTCTCTGGTGATTGTTGGAGGTGGCTCATGGGGCTCTTTGCAGACAAGAGTCTCTCACTGGTTACTGCTGGGACTGACAACCAAGAAGTTTCTTCGGATAACAGCTTCCCTGCTCCTTCTTGAACATGGCTGAGTTGGGTGCAGAAGTCACTCAGTGAACTGAAACTCACTGAACTCACACCTGTGTGCTCTACTCCAGGCATCCGTTCACAATCATTTTGCTTTCTACTCTGATTTTTGTCCTTATTCAGAACTGACTCCTTCTGTGCTGCACCATGAGTCCACATCCTACTGCTGTGGGTGCTACATGCAGGGGGAGTGAATCTTTTCTCATGGGATCTTTTCTCATGGGTGCACCTTTTACAGCAGGGGCACGATCTGTTTGGGGTTTCTTTACTCTTTGTGCAATGAAATGGTTTTATAGAATTATCTTCATTCCTGAAGGATAGCTCCCACATGTGAAGTCATCAAATCACAAATGGTTTGTGTTGGAAGGGACCTCAAAGCTCCTCCAGCTCCAACCCCTGCCACGGGCAGGGACCCCTTCCACTAGAGCAGCTTGCTCCAAGCCCCTGTGTCCAACCTGGCCTTGAGCACTGCCAGGGATGGGGCAGCCACAGCTTCTCTGGGCACCCTGTGCCAGCGCCTCAGCACCCTCACAGGGAAGAGCTTCTGCCTAAGAGCTCATCTCAGTCTCCCCTCGGGCAGGTTAAAGCCATTCCCCTTGGCCTGGCCCTACAGGCCCTTGTCCAAAGCCCCTCTCCAGGTTTAGGTATGGAATTGGACACACTTCAATCTGACTATAGCTGGAGCTGAACCTCAGTTTCACCAAAATGCCATTGAAAATGTTGGTATCAGAATTACAATTCTATCAACTGCTCCCCCCCCTTTGAACTCAGATTGGTGGGGTTTTTATACCACTGCATCCAAATGAACATAGAAGATTCTTTATGAATACTGCTACAAGCCCAACAATGTACCCCACAGCTCACCCCTGTCCCTGTGGTTACAGCAGGTGGAGGGCTGGGCTCTGGTTCACTGGTCCAAGGGCCTCACTGTTGTCCTGTGTGTGGGGTCCTTGTGTCCACTGCCAGAGGGGCTGCGCTGGACGGTCCCTGGGCTCTCAGTCCATCACTGGTGTTTAAACAGAAACCACCACAGACATTGTTAAAGGCATCTCAGACTCCCACCGAGGGAATACTCACTGTGACGCTTCTGCTGTGACCGCAGGAAGCACCTCGGTTCCTTCTCTGTTCTTGCTCCTCTCAAACAGAAGCAGAGACCAGGGCAGGACTGAGCACCCAGACAGACCCTGGTGAGCATCCCACTGGCAGCTGGGACCGAGTGCTGAAAGTAGAAGTGGAGCAGAAGCCAAGTCTCCACCAGGTTTACAGACACCCCCCCCCAGATACCCAACTCAAGCCACAGCCCATGTGGCACTATGGATTCATCACCAACAAACCACCAGGGTCCCCGTCACTTCAGCACCAGCCCAGGCCTGGCCTTACCTCACCCTCGGGAACAGCCACAGGGTGATGGATCCTCCCCTCTTACTCCGTGTGTCCAAGTGCCAGAATCCCCCCATCACCCCGCAAGACCATCCCTCTCCTGAGAGTCACCACTGAGGGCACTGCACATGTGAGCAGTCCAATGCTCCTGAACCAGCCTTGAGCTCAAGGGCTGTTTGGGGCAAATACCTGAAAAAAACAATAATGTTATCAATTTACAATAAAATCTGGGCTTAGAGAAAAAGAACTGCTAAAAATGTCATGAATTGACAAGAACTATTTAATTGGAAGTGGCACAAGGAAATCATGTAACAGAAGATTTCATCATTTCCTTTTCATTATACTCATATTCCACTTAATTTGCTGAACAAATAGATCAGACACAGACAGCACTAACAGAACTGCTGCACATGGATAGACAGGGCTCCAAGACAGAGAGCACTTAACCCCCCTTTGCGCTGGCAGAACAACCAACCTTGGGATAGGTCTTCTGCCATATCCACTCACAAACAGCAGGAAAAGTTGTACACACAGGATCCCAGCCTGGCTTGGGGTAGAAGGGACCTTAAAGCTCCTCCAGCTCCAACCCCTGCCACGGGCAGGGACCCCTTCCACTAGAGCAGCTTGCTCCAAGCCCCTGTGTCCAACCTGGCCTTGAACACTGCCAGGGATGGGGCAGCCACAGCTTCTCTGGGCACTCCGTGCCAGCACCTCACACCCTCCCAGGGCAGCAGTTCCTCACTGTCCCCTCAGGCTGAACACACAGAGCAAGGCCAGGTAAACAGTTAAAATTTATTAAACTTTTTGGTCAAAAGAACTGAACATTTTGTACAGCCCCAGCACGGCTCCGCCAGCACGGCAGGAACAGGCTCACCTGGAACACATCAGTCACCCCCAGGCCCAGGAGCCTCCAGTGGTGTCACAACCAAAGTACAGAGCAAGGTTGGTTTTAATTCAGACCCTTTCAGACGCTCAGCCCTTCACAGAGACACGGTGGCGTGTGCAGAGCCTGGTTTTAAGGAAGCGGAGCACAAACCACGCTGGAGCTGTTGCCTCCAGGGAGCTGCGGTCTCACATCCATTCCCGCTGTGCAGGCACGTTCCCAGCGTCATCTCTACCTCCTCGACGCTACCAACACGTGCTGCAACGGCGGCAGTAGCCCTCACCCAGCCTGCCCGAGGGCGAGGAGAAGGTTGATGCATTTTAGGCCTCTTTGGAGAAAACAAAAGTACCTAAGGCTTAAGAACAGGAGGGGAGAGCAGGATCCCAGCAGCCACAGCAACACCCGCCCGTGGCCTTGGTGCCTCCTGCCATTGGGGTGTCAGAGCCACAGCGTGCCCCAGTGCTGGGAACAGCCACGAGAGGGGTCGGGTTTGGGCCTGGAACTGCAACAGGAATACAATATATTATGCCAAGTAGTTAAAATAAACTCTTATCTTCCTGACAAAGACTAAAAAGGTTAAAAACCGTAATGCACATGAGGTTTGGCTCTAGTGAACGTTGAGATGCAGCCAATGAACTCAATTTGTTATCTTCAAAGAAGAAATAGTGTTCCACGTTTGGTTTTCCCTCCTGGTCACTTTCCGTTAAGGCTGTGGACATCTTTATACCGACCTCTGAGTCTCCTACTTGGTACAGGGAGCACTTGACAAGGAAACCAGTGCAATTTGAACTGAACAACAGCTTTGTGGGAACTCTGACCTTGGAATCTGAGATACTACACAAAAACATCTGGATTAGTCTGCCAAAAAAATATCACTGTTCTGGGGACAAACCCTGTCAAATCTGCCCCTCAGACTAATTCTGCACAATCTCAGGACATGCAATAGAAAAAAATAAGAGGACTGAATACATACCTTCAGATTTAAAAACACTTTTTATAGCTTGTTATTTTATTAAGTGGTTGACACCAGAAGGTGTGGTTAGAGATACAGGTGCTGAGTAAATAGTCATGGAAACCTGTCTACGAACCCAACTCAAGACCTACCTAAGTGCTCCAAGGTAAAACCACCTAAGCCCCGAAAAGGCCAGAGGAGGAATGTTCACAGGCATTAAGCACAATATATGTTCTGAAAGGCCCAAATATTACAGCAGAAAGAGCGTGAGAGAGAAGAAATTACACTGTCGTGACAAGTTTCCTTCTTGGGTGTTAGATTTTTGGTCTATCAAGTGGAAAGGAAGGCTCAGACTTCAATAAATACACTGGGTTTGAGCGCTGGCCTTCGTGAGCACTGTCCATCCATTCTGCCTGAGGGTTCCACCTGGAAAGCTGTGGCTGACGCTCCCTACCCCGACAGCAGAACATCCATGACTCCAAACCTGGCCAGATCCTCTCCTGGAGCTAAAGGGAAGTAAGTGCATCAATGTTCTTCACTGGTAAGACAACAAGGCCTTCTCTTTTACAGATAAACAACTGAGCGTAACTATGCGAGACGACAGCTCCGTCCTCGGGGAAGTCATCTCTAGTTAATTTTGTCCTGGAATATATACAAGTTATTGGTGGCAGCTACAGCAATGATGTTCTCCATGGGATGCCACGCTGTGTGCAGGATCTTCTTGTTGAAGTCCAGACTGTCAACGCTTATCTCGTCCTTCTTCCTCTTGCCCCCCGTGCAGACCTTGCGCGGCTTCAGCACGGCGCGGGGCTTGCTGCTCTCGCGGGAGGCCTCCAGGGTGACGTCCCGGCGCGTGTTGCGGTCGAACATCCTGAAGAAGTTGTTGTAGGACCCAGTCATGATAGCGCTGTTCAGAGGCGGAGGGAAGGCACATCTTAGTGCTTGCCAGACACAGCATCAACCCCTGTCTTCTCCCTCACACTCACAAGGTGAGGGTCAGCCCCAGCTCATGACCAGGATGGGCCGTCACACTCTTCCCCTCCCTGACGTACACCACTGCTCTGTTCCATCTGGATTTCAGCATTGCCTCCATGCCACTGCTTCCTCCCCTGGGTGTTCCTCTGGTCATCACCCCCTCTACCATCCAGCCTGGCCTTGAGCACTACCAGGGATGGGGCAGCCACAGCTTCTCTGGGCACCCTGTGCCAGCGCCTCAGCAGCCTCACAGGGAAGAGCTTCTGCCTAAGAGCTCATCTCAGTCTCCCCTCGGGCAGGTTCAAGCCATTCCCCTTGGCCTGTCCCCACAGGCCCTTGTCCCAGGCCCCACTCCAGGTTTCTCTTTCATGCTCGTCACTTAGGGAATCAGTACTTAAGCAGCATGTAGCAATCCCACCTACCTCTGCAGTAGCAATGTAGGAGGAAGGCATCACTTTCTTTGCTGATCCCTGTGCACAGCTTTGAGATCCGATTTCCCCAATCACTTTCCCCATCTAACCTATGTGGTGGATCTTCTACTCTCCAACAGTGGATAGGTTTAGGACAAAGCTTGTTTCACAGCCTGATCCTATTATCACCCTGATACCTTTTCACTGAAGAGCCTGCAAGCTTTGGCTGCAGGCAGGTCCCTGGTTTAGGTGTTTCAGATTTACTCAGTCTTCAAAGTAAGAATGCCCAAGGAAAGCCAACACAAAACATCCAGACCTGCCATGGTCTCATCTATGTCATCTGAAAGCATTTTAACAGGCAGCTCATACTGCCATAGCTGTTTCGTTACAACCTGAAAGTCCTGCTTATGGCTTTCCAGACTGGAAACCAAATCCCTAATGCTAAGGGAAAACAACACCCCAAACCAAACCCCTGAGCTTACCTATCAGAACCGTTCCAGCAGCACTCGAACTTGTCAAAGATGCAGTCATTTTCATAGAGGGAACACAGCTTGCTCCGAAGGTACTCATGAACCTTTGGGAACATTGAAATTGGTGTTAGACATAAAGAAAGAGAAGGAAAGGGGAAAGAGGGGTATTGAAGAAAAGGTGACCACCATACTTGGTATGTCTCTACAGGCCTGTTCTCCATGTTGAGGTCCCACACTTTGACTGACAGGTAGTCTCTTGTCATCATGTATCGGCCGCTGTGACTGAATTTAACATCAGATATCGAGGATATTATCTCTGAAAAAAATGATCTGCTGCTAGGATCCTCGGGCTCTTCAAAAACTGCAGACAGAAGACACAGTGACAATGAAACCAACACCAACCTTCACAGCCTCCAGCGCTTGCGAAGCTTTACATCAACATTCTGGCTGCTTTTTACAGAAAGGTGCTGGTAAACACTCTTTAGGAATAATGTCTTTTTGAGTAATGTCATGCTCTTGGTCATCAGATGCTAGATGCCCATCTCCAAGATTCCCAGGCAGAGCACAGCATCAGCAAATTACAACTCATGGGTCTTACAAGTCCATCAGAGGAAAGAGTTAAACACCCACACATGGGTGCAGTGGACATTACGACTGAGCTACAAATCACATTGAACATGAGCTGGTGAAAGCCTCAGCACCCCAAACACAGTACCTTAATGAATGACCCATGCACTGAGACTCCTGTACAACCTACTTCAGATCTGAACAACAGCTGTACAACGCAACCTACTCAACTATTAGTATCTACACTTGAAATGCAGTTTGTATGCTTTTAAAAGCAGATAAAGAAATGCATTATTTAAACTGAGGAGTCAGTCTCTGAGGTCAGTGTTTCAGGACACAAGAACTATTTAAATTTTGAATGGATCCCTTTTAGCAGGATGTTATTCAGTCACAAACAGTTAAAAACCGAAGTCCTTCCAAGTAACTGAATGCAACTCTAACTTGAATACATGGAGTGGCCTCACAGTCTGCATTTCCCAGTGCACAAATATGTCCTTCCACCAGCAGGAAAACCTCATCTGCACTGTAGGGAGCTTACCTGCAAGTGTCAGTGTGGCAGGTCGCCCCACAGGGCTAGTGATACTGCTAAACCACAACCACTACAGCTGTGAACAAAAGGCTGTGTGAAAGGCATAGGCAGTTATCCTTATGGCTTCAATACAAAAGCTTTCCTTTCGTATGGAAGTTTAAGTGGCTCAGCAGACTAGAGCAAAACTTACTTCAAGAACAGCATGAGGCCTTAGGAATTAATTCTATGCTAAGAGCTGCAAATGTCACAAAGTAAATGGATTCTGGCAGCATCAGCCCAGTTTCTAATGCACAAAGGTGAATAAACTGCCCTGAACTGGCATTTGATAAGCAGATACCTTTGAGAAGCACCAAGACTGAGTCTGGACAGAAGACAGGTCTCACTGGTGCCAAAAGCACTTGTTCCCATCACTTTATGATGCATAAATGGGTAAACAGGAGCAGAGTCAGATGGTCAATTGTCTCATGCTACACTTCTGCTTGGTGATGGCCTAGAACAAGACAATTAAAATGTTCCATTCTACAAAACTACCACCCCTTACCTCGTATGCTCTTTACCAAAAAGCAGAACTTGGCACGGTCATTTACAAGCAGAACACCTACACACTCTATCTTGCGTGAAACCAAAGCAAGAAGCCCAGGAGCCAAGACTCATCCCAACTTACACTTGGAGTGCCTGTCGCAGAGTGCTGAGGACCGCATGTCACAGAGGCGAATGGTTCCTTTGCTGCTGCTGTACACGAACACGTTACAGTGGTGAGGGTGGAACTCCGCAGCAGTGATCACCTCTGTCAGCTCCTCCATGTTAGCAGGCTTAATATCTACAATATCTGGAGGGGGTTTGTAAAGGCAAGCTCACATTCAGACAGCTTCTGGCAGGTGACTACTGAAAAATGCTCAAGTACCACGTAGAAAACCAGGGCGAGATCTTAATTTCCACCAAGTGCCATCTACACACAGTGACTTGAGTAGATAAAGTCTAGATGCTCCAGGTCAACTTTAACAGATGCTGGAGATAATTCCAGACTCCTCCCAAGCCTCCTTCTTAATGCTTCCTACTGAATACATTCTTTCTCTTTACCTAATGCTTTGGAAAACTCATATGTGACCTACTGAACACTCAGTATTTCTGCAACTTCTACCTCACTGCAGACTTGTGAGAGGAGAACATCCTGAGCTGTGCATACACAGCCTTGCAAAGAGGTTTGAAAGTTATTTCTGCAGGTAATGGTACCATCTACATGGAACCCCCCTGAAATTTCAGAGAAGTGTCAGCTAAAGAGACATTAGACTCTGGAAAGGAACATCTAAAGTAACAAAGGAGCTGCTTTTCATATCTTTCCACTCTTAAGTCAACCGAATTCCACAGATAAAGGATGCTCCCTTAATTCCTCCATTTCTTTTTAGAAATCAATCTATTAATGATAATTGTACTGGCAGTTTTCCACTGCAATGATGCTTGCACTCAAAATGAATGAGAGCATCCTAAAGCCTGCTCTCACCGTATTAAACCCCAGACTTCCAAATCCTCTAATTTAATCCCTAGATTCAAACACCTACTCTGATGAGTAAAATTAAAATGATTCTCTTAAACACACTCGATTTTGAATTGCCCCAGTGTTCATACAGAACAAAAAAAAAGGATACTAAAACTTCTATCTGTGATTTCTAAATGCCATAGGTTAATTCTTAGGTCATCCGCAGAAAGGTACGTTTCATGATCACTATTTACTGAAATAGAGTTTATGTGATAAGTATGTGCATTTGCAAATATCCTTCTGGGACTTGCTTCTACCATTAGGTCCATGGGTTTCAAGATTGGCACCTGAAACATGAGAACAAACAGTCAGTTTTGGCATAAACCTGATTTCTGATTCAGAAGATCTTAATTACAATCAGAATCATTTAGGTTTGAAAACACCTTTAAGACTGTAGAGTCCAATCATTACCCCAGCACTGCCCAGGCCACCCCCAACCCATGGCACTGGGGCCTCGTCTCCACGCTGTGTGAACACTTGCAGGGACGGTGACTGCAGGCCTGCCCTGGGCAGCCTGTTCCAATGCCTGAGCACCCTCTGGGGCAGGAATTGTTCCTCAGCTCCATCTAAACCTGCCCTGGTGCAGCTTGAGGCCGTTTCCTCTTGTCCCATTCCTTGTTCCTTGGGAGCAGAGCCCAGCCCCTCCTGGCTCCATCCTCCTGTCAGGCACTTGTAGGGAGCCATCAGGTCCCCCCTGAGCCTTCTCCACTGAACCCCCCAGGTCCCTCAGCCCTTCCCCATCACACTTGTGCTCCAGGCCCTGCACCAGCTCCATTGCCCTTCTCTGGCCCCGCTCCAGCACCTCAATGTCTCTCTTGTAGTGAGGGGCCCAGAGCTGAACACAGGATTCGAGGTGCAGCCTCACCACTCCCCATCACAGGACAATTACTGCCCTGGCCCTGCTGCCACACTGGTGCTGATACAGGCCAGGACACATTTGGCTTCTCGGCTGCCTGGGCACAAACTGCTCATGTTCAGCTCTGTCAATCAGCACCCCCAGGTCCTTTTCCATGAGCAGCTTTCCAGCCACTCTGCCCCAAGCCTGTATGGTTGTTGTGGCCTGGGTAGGGAACCCAGCACTGTGCACTGCTTAACTTCAACTGGCTTTGTCCCATTGATCCAGCCTGTCCCTATTCCTCTGTAGAGCCTCGATACCCACAAGCAGATCAAGACGCCTACCCAACCTGGCTGTCATCTGCAAGCTGACTGAGGGGGCACTCAAATCCCCACATCCAGATAGCTGATACAGGTATTAACAGAGCCAGGCTTGATACTGAGCCCTGGGAACACCATAGGGGTGTCAATAAATGTTGATGGTAATTAATAAATTGCATACGACTGATTCCTGTTTTGATTTAGTGACTATAAACACTTCTGAAACCCACTGAGCAAGAAAGCAATACAGCAGCCCATGAATGATGACTTTCCTGCTGCCAACACACTACCTCAGACACTGAGTGCAGTAGGAGTTATCTGTCAAATACAGCAGCTTTGTATCTCATCCCACAGGGCAGTGGTGGATGTTTATTATGACATTTGAGATCATGTTCATTTGAAATAAGCACTTTAAACGCCCCCCACATCTTAGAGGGGTGTGAAACTGGGAAGAGTAGTTTGCAAACAACACCCCACCGTGCTCTCTGAACAGCTTTAGGAACACCCGGATGCCCTGTCACAAGCAGCTGAGCTGCCAGGGTCAAGTGGACTAAGCCTCCCTCTAGCTCCGTCTCACTGACCAGCAAGTGAAGGTTGCTCAAGGACATCCTAAGCTATTCCAGTACATGGAATTTCACGGAACACCAAATTACATCATCTAACCAAGAAAAAACAGTTATGACAGTGTTCAAGACAATATGTATTCCCAGAACAAGAAACAAATGAACTCAAGAGCTTGCCAATTGCTTTCACCATGTTTGTATCTCAGCCTGTTTACATCAAACCAGAATGGTTAAAATTAATCCATTACTTTTATTAGGCAATTCTCCTGTCTCATCACACAAGTGTTCCTGGCATGGTCAGCAGTGGCATTGGCTTGGAAAGTAGGGAGAGCCTCAGTTCAATTCCTATTTATGGCAACAACCACCATCTAAAATGCAAGAACCACCCTCAACCCCACACAATTTCACTGCCTGAGCTCCTGCTTTGAAGGATCCCAAGTTTGGAGCACTAACCCTACCTCTGCATCACTGTGCAAGTGGAAAATGTCAGGATCCTTCAAATACGCATTAGGTTTCCCAAATGCTCAGAACTTGCCTCTAACACAACCCCCTTCTACCTCACCACAGAATACTCAGCACCCTGCTTACACTGGAGTCTTGTTCTTAGAGAAAGAAAGACCAAAGTTGTTAAATCTCAGCAATATTGAAGGGGAAGAACTATCGATATAACCAGAGCCAAATTCTTCCCCAGTTCACAAGGGCCTCCAAGAAAAGGGCCCTACATGCCAGCTTCAGAGCAGCCCTTGGGGAAGATGTACAGGTTAACCTGGGCACTGGGTCCTTCATACCAGCACAGACACTATGGCACTATCCTCTGCTGACTGGCTGTGGTCAGGAGGGTAAGTCAGAGTCTGAAATCAATATGCAGTCTCAATATGAGCCCATGCTGGCTATGAACTGAGTACAGAGTAGTGGAGCCCCAGCCAGAGATACCCCAAAATGCTGTGTTCTCAGGCTTGAATAACAACATTTTGTTATATTTCACTGCTGTCAATAAATCAGCATTGTCGTCTTCTACAATTCTAATATGCTGAGGTGGACAAAGGCTTCTCTAACAAAATATTTTCATTTTAAAAACAGCTGAAATTTCAAATCCATTTTCAACATTTTAAAATATTCTAAGAAAAAAAACTAAAACCCAAACTATTGGGAAGCCAATAGTATAATATTATAATAAAAGTTTGCCTCAAGTTTTCCATAGGAACCTTATCTAATAACTACAGACATATATACCGAAGTGTCTCCATTTTTAATATGTGTTTTCAGTGACCCCTGCCAAACCATTTTTAATCTCCACACTGCAACTGAGCACTTTGGTAGTACAAAGGTAGAGAAGTACACGGAGAAAGATACTAACAGTCAGCGAGCAGACACGTACCCGCAGTGCTGTGATTCTGAAGGGATCCCGCAGTCTTCCATCTTCATCTTTTAAATTATAACCTTCGGCTCTTTTATCCCTTTCACTTATCTTCCATAATTTAATAGTTTTATCTAAAAACAAAAATTCACGTGCTTGAGAATGAATTCAAGTCAAATAAAATCACAAAACCACAGAGGCAGCAGACTGGCTGTTAGTTGTCTGTCTCGGTTTCCCCTGCATGCAAGAGTAAGGGCCCAGATGGGGTCCTTTTAAACACCAAGGTAACACAGAGTAGAGCCCCCCCCAGGGTACTCTGTGCCTTCAGCTATGTTGTTCAGCAGAACCAATACATGGAAATCATTATCAAAGTTAAGGCTATTTGAATTTCAAAGTGCAACAGACAACAGTCATTCCTGCTTTTACAGCTTCATGTAGCAGGCAGGATATCAGCACTTACAGAGTCATTTAAGCACAAACTCTTGGGAAATAGCATATTTCTCTGAAAGTAACAACAACTTTTTCTATAGGATCATTTAGGTTGGAAGAGATCCTTTAAGATCAAGTCCAGCCATTAACCTAGCGTTGCCAAGGCCACCACTAAACCATGTCTCTAGTTCTCCATTCACATTTACAGCTTGCTCCATGGTGCATCAAAATGAAACCAATCCAATATGTAAGAACCACTAAAACACTGGGAAAAAAATAGAAACAGCCCTGAAATGCATAAAAGCTTGTCATTCCCAACTTAGAATACATGAAAGCTGTGCAGAAATTACAAGCACACAGTGAACATGGTATAAACTTCCTCCCTGAGTGACTGTTGTCTTTCAAACAGTTGCTCTCCAAAACACATGTGATGTTTTGATTTAGAAAGCAAAAAGGTTGTAACCACAGTGCTTCCGTTTCAAATGTAACTGTTACAAATTCAGAGATCCCCAAAAATTACATTTCAAAATTAGGATGAAGTCAAATCCAGACTTCTGCTACAGCTCAGCACACCAGGAACCCATCTATATAAGAACTATACAGCAGGGTAACAGGGTATGTGAAGTGACAGCATGGTCTGTCTGTCCCCAGAAGGCTCTGGAACTGTGTCTCTTGCTGCTGCCTCATTTCTACATTCATACATTAGTACCTAGAGTGTTACAAACAAAATATACTTTACATATAGAGAAGACATTAAACCAACCCCAAAACCTGCAGACACTCTCCCCCCAGCAAGAGAACACTCAAATGATGAAGTTCTCTGTGCAGAAATGACGTGTCCTTACCATTTGTAGACAGCAGGAAGTGAGCAGCATTCTGTTGTGGTAACCACCTAATTTTATTGATTTTTTCCTCAATTTCTAGACTTTTCAAGTAGTCAAATTCAGGTTCATGACTCTGGAAGGTGCTGTAAACATTGTATTCCCCCCTGGAATGAGGACGGCTTTTATTCTGCAAGGAAACAGTAACATCAGCTGCAAGCAGTGTCAGGAGCTCATTAGGAACTGCACATACAAACTAATGACTACAAACTGTCAAGTAGAAATGTTTACAACAGATCTTGAATTTACATTTTTACCCTGTGATACTGTACTTAGTTTACCATCAAAAGAATGCACACAGACTTAAAAGCATCTCTTTATATATTAATACATGTGTACTCATAGAACACAGCCCATTCCAAGGCATGCTGGCCACAGAGGAGTTCCTGTGCTTGCCTGAAAGGGTTTAAGGCTACTCCACCTCTCCCAAGCAGTTTCAGCAGTGCTGGAGCAGAGAAGTAACATCCTAAGTCCCACACCACCAACTCCATGTCATTAGTTTCTGCTCCTCACTTAATCTCTACTCCCATCCTTTTCTTTTTACTCATTCCTGTAAATCACCACAATATGGACATAAAGTAGGTTTCCAGAACAGGAAATCAATGTAAAAGGACACAAGACATGGAGTAATTGAATAGGGTTTTTATAGAAGTCATTGTGCTGAAGGCACAGCAAGATCGATGAGATCACTAGATCTACCTCCTCTCCCATTCCTTTTAAAGCCTGCCGTGTCCAGAAGTGGTATCAAGGTTTATAACTGAGCTTTGACAACCTTTTTTGTTTGTCAAAAAAACATGAAGGCTGGAATCAGTACATTTTCATCTAAGCCATTCTATAGTGCTCACCATGGTGTGCCAAACATGACCACAAATACACTGACAACTTTTTCTCTCACAGAACTACAAGACCGCTTTGTATGATCCTTGGTGGAAAGGAAAAGAGATCAGAGTCACAAGCATCCACAGATTTGCAGAATCAGAGTTGGGACAGTCGGTTATCAGGATTTCAACTGGGTTAATGAGATGCTGATTCGCATTTGGAGAGCTGCAGAGCCCGGAACTCCTGAAAACAAGCTCCTCAAACACAGTTGGAAATCACATGCTGGAGAAGTAGCAGATGACTCCTCTGCAGAGGCAGGCAGGCAGCAGAGCAGGAAAGCCCACCCTGCACGCTGACTGGTGGCAGAAAATACAGTGGGACTCACAGCCCTAGAGACCACCAGACCAGCCTGTATTCCGACACAGTGACTTGGGTAAGGTTACTTCAGTGAGAGATTTTCCTGCACTGTCTCACAAGTATGGAGTTTTAGTTAATGCTGGGACTTCACATTATTATTCCTTACTTGTCACTCTTCCAAATGTTGGATAGGATGCTCCCAGCTAACCCTGCTCAGTATCACTCTGCATCATTTACAGCCACCCAAGCTTTGAGCAAGCTGTGGCACTAGGCAGTGGTCTCGCTCTTTACTCACACATTTGGCTGGAATCACCAGCTGCTTGGAACTGAAGTGATGTCCGAGTTTAGGGCGTGAGGTACAAGAGTTCAGCCCACCTTCCCAAATCATAGTGTATGGGGAATTTTATAACTACCCTAAGTTGCTGGTAACCTAGTTGGCCTAGTTAATGTCCATGATGTTGAAAAATATTGGTTGTAAGGTTTTATTTACTCACTTGAGATCTATTCCTCCACTCCATGACTTACATAGCTTTACACATGTTAAGAGATATGACACTTATGCCCAACTCCTCCCTACAGTCTGCATGTGCTCCAGAGAACACCTGAGTATTCCTGGGTAAACAGTCCGACTGGTGGGGTTTTTTCCCCCTAGCTGGGTTCTGACTTACAGAACAGCTGAAAGCCAACCAGTAATAGCTCCACTCCTAACACACATCGAGACAGATCCTGAGCAGATGGACACTTCTGACCTTGATCTCTCTGTGCCTTGGTTCAGTGTCTAGAGCAGACTAACTGATCCATCAGCTATGAGCTGTCTAGGTGCAGCAGGGCAGTGTTTCAGCAGCTTTTTCCTGTCGCTACCTCTCAAATCCTCACAGTAAAACAGTAAGTCACCTTTGGTAAAAGGGGTTATAAATAGTATCACAGTCAGCATGAAATGCAATATACTGGAAGCTGAGATACTGGATATATAATACTGGATACTGCAGTATACTGAGCATCAGCTGAGCCACACACAAAAGAAGTAGGATTCGGATGGAAAAAAATGGGAGCATCTCAAAATCAGTGTAATTCATGCACAAATGAGCTGAATTAAAATTCCAGGATCAGTTTTGGTATTTGTGACCCAGGAAAAGCTCAAAGCAAACCAAGGCTCAAATTCTCACCACCTTTTCAAAAGAAAGGATAAACAGGTTCTTTGGTGGGTGAGCAGAGGTGAAAATACCTATGTGGAATATTGACCGTTTAAAGAACACAATTCCAGATTTCTCTCAGGCATGACAAAGCACGACAAATATTTTTCAGCATTTAGTGCACTTCTCCAATATACATTATTTCTCTGGATATAAAAAGCTCAGAGGTGGCTCTGCGGGGGTGAATGGGCAGCAGAGGCTACAGTGCTATCACACAACTGAGCAGCACTGCAAGGAGCCAGCCAAGAGTGTGCCACTGCAGGATGAGGCTTCCCCTCTCTGAACTGAAAATGCTTGAGCATTTCCTCGAGAAGCTGTTCCCACTGGTTTTGATTCATAAAATCCTGAAATATATCAGATTAATTCTTCAGTTTTTGAATCATCCCACCCTGCTGTCCTTGCAGCTTAACTTGTATCCTTATTCATGAACTTTTCTTTCATTATCTTCAAAGCATTGTAATTTTATAGAATAAAACAGTTCAGGTTGGAAGGGACCTTAAAACTTATCTACTCCCAAACCCCTGCCACGGGCAGGGACCCCTTCCACTAGAGCAGCTTGCTCCAAGCCCCTGTGTCCAACCTGGCCTTGAACACTGCCAGGGATGGGGCAGCCACAGCTTCTCTGGGCACCCTGTGCCAGCGCCTCAGCACTCTCACAGGGAAGAGCTTCTGCCTAAGAGCTCATCTCAGTCTCCCCTCAGGCAGGTTCAAGCCATTCCCTTGGCCTATCCATGCAGGCCCTTGTCCAAAGCCCCTCTACAGGTTTCCTGTAGCCCCTTTAGGCACTGGAGCTGCTCTAAGGTCTCCCCTTCCCCAGGCTGAACAAGCCCAGCTCTCTCAACCTGCTTTAGATCAGCCTGCCAAGTATAAAGTTCAGAGGAAAGTCCAGAGGCAATTCTGCAACATGATACATAGCACAGTAGATACTGATGTGAAGAACTCCCTTGGATTTTGAGGACTCTTTTTTGGGTGGAGGGTGGTTTAACCACCACAAACCAACCTCCCAAGTTCAGCACGGGGCAGGTATTTATCGATTTGGCTAAACTTGGGGTTTTCTGAGAAAGCCATCAAACACTGAAACTTCACAGCATGGAAAGATGAAGTGAGACAGTGCAACACAAGAACAGTGGAGTAACAGCACTTATGTTTTTCAAGTCACTGACCTCTTGTTCCCTTTGAAATATAACCACTCTGCCACCTTTGTCTCCTGTTGCAAGAAGATCACCAGAGTAATTAAATTCAACTGTTGAAATAATATCAGCTGTAAACAGAACAGAAACAAACAGCACTGTAATGTGGGAAGCAAAGCAAGATGTTTCAAGACTTGAACACAAAATTACTACTTGTATTAAAGCAACAACACAACTCCTTCATTTACATTATCATATCCAGACACTAAGCCATGTTTCAGAGCCTAACAACACTTTTAGATTTAGGTTTATAATCTAAAGCAGTTCCACATTTCTCAGTTTAAGCTTTTGAGGGCCTTCAATCACGAAAGAGAAGGCATATTGTTTTAGGAATCCAGACTCTGTATTCTATCTGTTGCCAGTAAATGCTGAAGCACATAATAGAGATGGGAAGTCTGCGCAGACCCAAGTATAAATCCTGTGGGAAGCAGTTCACCTGTGATACTGGTATTGCTTTGGAGCAGCACAGCACTGCACTGCTCCCACTGAGGCCAAGGCATACCTGCCTTTCTTCACGCTGAGTACTCATGTAGTTAGTTCAGGAACCTGAGCTGGGCATCCACATCTGCTGAAAGGGTGAGGTGAAGGCAGGAAAGAAAGGAAATGCTTCCAGCCGAGCTTCCCAAACCAAGTCTGCAGAAGCACCAGCATCAGCACATACACCACAAAGAAGAGGCAATGCTCACTGCACCTGAAGGAATGGGAGAGTGAAGGAAAAGAGCAGCACCTCCAGTTCAAACTGAATCAGGTGCCCTTGGGACTGAACCGTGGAAACCACCAGTGTTGGTTCACCACTGCTCACCACAATAAATCTCTGGAGGTGGCAGTAAAGAAATAACTGCCTGCAACAATGTCTAACCAAGGGACAGAGAGATAAGGGGCTGTAAACGTCTGTCAGGCTTCAGGCACATGGTAACAAAACCAACACAGCACTCAGCATCAGATGGTGAGTAAACATTCATCCCTGACACACTCATCCGGGCTGGTGCTTGTGGCCACCCAAGGGCTTCACTGGATGATGCAGGCAGAGAAACTGCAAGATCTGAACTATATGATACCAGTTAGTTTCAGAGTTTGCAATTGGAGAGCAGATGAAAACTGCTTATCTCTTAAATTCTTTCAATAGGCCCCCACTCTTTTGAGGAAAGTGATTAGAAGTCTAAGCAGTTTCCCCAATATATAATAAAAGATGAAATATGGATATTAACAGATGCCCATGAAAAGTTTTTCCTAGTGCATAAAGTTAATGATTTACCTTCTCAGATTAAAAAAAAAATAATTATTAAAAATACACAAATAACCTTCTACAACTGTATCCCAGCCTTCCCAACCACATTATTAACCTGCTTCTGGACACATCTGATTTTATAATCGTCTTTCTTTCAAAGGTTATGAAAAGATTCCATTTTGATAAAGAACAGGATGATCATAGAACCCCAGCATGGTTTAAGTTGCTCCTCCACCTCCAGCCCCTGCCATGGGCAGGGACACCTCCCACTAGAGCAGCTTGCTCCAAGCCCCTGTGTCCAACCTGGCCTTGAACACTGCCAGGGATGGGGCAGCCACAGCTTCTCTGGGCACCCTGTGCCAGCACCTCAGCACCCTCACAGGGAAGAGCTTCTGCCTAAGAGCTCATCTCAGTCTCCCCTCTGGCAGGTTCAAGCCATTCCCCTTGGCCTGTCCCTGCAGGCCCTTGTCCAAACCCCTCTCCAGGTTTCTTGTAGCACCTTTAAGTGCTTGGAACTAATCTAAGGCCCTCTGGAGCCTTCCTTATTTCAGCCTTTTCTCTATATTAAAGTAACTCGCACTGACATGTACAGAAGAGCAAGAGAAGACAAACTACTGTCACATCGGTTTACACACAGCATCTCACTGCACGCCTCTCATATGCAAGACACATCTGTGATTCTGACTGTCCAGAAGCAAAGGTCTGTTCAACTTCCCTTCTGTTTCTGCTCCACTATGACCAGAACTCTGTTCTGCAAGTGGCAAGGGAACTCCCCTCCTGTAAACTATGGAAAGCAGTAATACCTATGGCTTTACAGTAAGCTATTCACCTGGTAATATTGCTTTCCAGGCATGAAAAATGTTTAGTCTCACTTTTGGAAAGGAGTTCTACTGTAGTTAGTCTAGCTACAGAGCAGGAAACTCCTAGCTGTCTTCAAAGCTGGTATATTAAAGGACAACTAAATTATGGCTCTCTACAATCTCAACTTCAAAAGCACTTCCATGGGCAGTAAACGTCCTCCCAACACAGGAGAAAGCTACAAACATCCATCCACCTTTATAATAATGTAGTGGAAACCATCCTCAGTGATTCAGGAGACTGTCCTGTAAGCCTTCACACATGCTCCAAAATTGAGTACAAGCGCTCTAAACCTTTTAGCATCACCATCACCTCCCTCTATCACAAAATGTCTGCCAGAATGCTGTTAAGGTTCTCACCTCCAAAGCTTCCTGAGCTTGTTATAATGAGGAGTGAAGGGGGACAGAGACCACTGTTTGTTAGGATTCAGAGATGAGAGCAAGTTTAGACCTGCAAACTAATTTAACCCCAACAAAGGATTCATACTGGGTTCTTCTAACTGACACCAATATCGACGCCTGTGCTCTCTTCATGTATTGAAGGATGCCAAGAGATCCAGAACACCCAAATCAGATGCTTAAAAGTAGCACCTGTGAACTCTTCTTCTCTAAGGTGACTGCACATTGCTGCTTGGGTTAAACTTCAAACACTGGAACGCATCACTGCTGCACAGCTCACCCAGATGAATGGGCAGCTGCAGTTAATGCTCAGGACTGGCACTAACTACATGCGAACAGCATCAACTTCCCTCTCATTCTTCTAAACTATTCATAGCCTTCTGTCAAAAGCCCCCTCCTCAGACAACTGATGAACAGGGAAGTCAAGACAGTCACTGTTGGGGAACACCACCTAAAGGGGGGAGATCCAACTTCCAGGGGATTTTAACTTCATTTTCCAAACAGGTAATGGGCAATACACTGCTTCACATTCAGCACACACACTGGCAGAACAACACACATCAGACACCTGGTCCCACCCCTCCCTCTGGAAAATACTTTAATACACAGCACCTTTTTCCATGATGTGTCCTAGAGATCAAGCAAAGGAACGAAGGACTATGAAACTCCCTGAGGAGGCTAATGCTTGGAGATGACTGGATCTGGACCAGAGCCAGGCAGCTGGCATGAACTGTAAGGGAGACTGCCAGTGGAAACTAAACTTAGAATGAACACTTCTGTGCCTGTCACAGAGATCAAAGGTGACACACCTTTCCCTCTGACACATGGTTATTCTACAGAGGGTTTTATTCTACAGCCAGAAAAAGCTGCAGGAGACATTGCATAGCCTCCTACAGCTGATAGGAAGGAAGCTGAGAGTGCAGAAGAGGATGAAGTGGCAATTATTGTGCTCCTAAATCAGCCAGGACATCAGAATCTGGGATCACAGAATCCCAGCATGGTTTGTGTTGGAAGGGAGCTCAAAGCTCATCTGGTTCCAACCCCTGCCATGGGCAGGGACCCCTTCCACTAGAGCAGCTTGCTCCAAGCCCGTGTCCAACCTGGCCTTGAACACTGCCAGGGATGGGGCAGCCACAGCTTCTCTGGGCACCCTGTGCCAGCGCCTCAGCAGCCTCACAGGGAAGAGCTTCTGCCTAAGAGCTCATCTCAGTCTCCCCTAGGGCAGGTTCAAGCGACTCCCCCTTGGCCTGTCCCTACAGGCCCTTGTCCCAAGCCCCTCTCCAGCTTTCCTGCAGCCCCTTCAGGCACTGGAGCTGCTCTCAGGTCTCCCCTTCAGGAGCCTTCTCTTCTCCAGGCTGCCCCAGCCCAGCTCTCTCAGCCTGGCTCCAGAGCAGAGCTGCTCCAGCCCTCGCAGCATCTCCATGGCCTCTTCTGGACTTGCTCCAAAAGCTCCACATCCCTTGTGTGCTGTAGGGCAGAGAACTACCTTTAAGTACCCGGCCGAGTTTAACAGAGCCCGAAATAACCCTGCTTCTTGAGCGAATCTGAATTATCGAGCAGATCTAAGGTCAACCAAGGGCACGCGCTGGGCACTGAGCTGCCTGCTCAGCACAGCAGCAGGAGCAGGAGCCGGTCGCAGTCAGCGCAGCCGCTGCCGCGCCCCGGCGAACTGCACACAAGAGCCCTCCTGCGGCCGGGCTGCCAGCCCTGCGCGTCCCGGAGCCTGCCTGGAGCGAAGCCACTCGGCACTGCAGCGGGAAGAGCACCCAGGCTGCTGAAACCGGGCAGGAAAGCAGCAACGGAAGGTGTCAAACCGCCCCCCAGCCCTGTCCCTAAGGCTGCCCAGCTATCACCCCACACCAAGCGCTTGTTCAGCTGGCTCAACAACAGGAGGTTGCCTATCCAAAAGGAGAACTAGTTCAATTCCCTCGTGGAGCTCAATTTGCACTTCCTTTTCAATGGAACCAGATCATAAACTGGTGCTGGAAGCGTCCTCTGAATTATATTTTAAATTCCCCCATCTTCCACCTAGTTTAACATGCACAGTTTGATATTAGTACAAAGAAAGGGCAAAGCAGCAGCAATAAAAGAAAGTAGTAATGAAAATTACTTTCACACTTGCCAAAGTTTTCTGTGCCTTTTCTTACAAGCAACTGTGGAGGCTATTTTTAATATTCATGACACAGTCCAGCACTCTGGGTGCAAACCCACTCCCTCAGTATTATTTTTTTCCCCTCTGGAATAGCAATTCCAACAAGCTTTTTGCTACTGGAAGTATATTTAATGAATTGATGTGATTCTGTCAGGTTTGCTTCTATGTAGCTCGTTATGCTTTCTATTTTACTTTAATAGGAGTTAATAAAAGTCTTAACATGATGGGTGAATATCTTCCACTTGCAGCACTCACTTTCCTCTGTCTTTTCTTTACTTAAAGCAGTTTCGTCAGTTTTAAGCTTTCCCCCCAGGTGTTAAAATACTCCACAAATGGCACAATAGTGACAGCTCATGTCGAACTGTATCAACAGGTACCACAACCTGCTGGCACTGCAGAGACGAACAGCAGCAGCTTTCACTGCGCACACAGTAA